CGAGAAAACTTAAAATTTTATGTGATGATTTACAATTTCTGAAATGGAGTTCAAAATGAAATGTGCACTTTGACATAAATTCGCATAATTTATTATTTCCTCTAGATATCGCGGTGTTGAAAAAAAAATTCTTTTAAAATGTAATCATTCAGACAAAAGTTCTTTAATAGTACTTAAAATAAAATATTTTTAAATTTATGTTATCCCGGCGCATCCCCCATTTTTCTTCCAAAAATTAAAATAGCTCAAATAAGTTGTCTAAAAAATTTTTTAAAAATAAAATTTTTCAGGATAACAAATTTGTCCTTATTTTCTCCGTACCTATTCCAAGAATAGGGAAAACTTAAAATTTTATGACACGATATAAAATTTCTGAAATGGACTTGAAAATGGAATATGAACTTTGACATAAATTCGCATCATTTATTATTTCCTCCAAACTGTGTTGAAACAAATTTCTTGTAAAATTTAATAATTCAGACTGAAGTTCTTTAAAAGTTCTTAAAATAAAAAAAAAATAAATTATAAACCCTAAGCGTCATCTTTTTTTTTCCAAAAATTAAAATAGCTCAACTGAATTACCTAAGATTTTTTTGTATGGAGTGTCTTCAGAATAACAAATCCCTGCTAATTTTTAACATACCTGCTCCAATAACCTAGACACATTCAAATATGATGTGAATTTTTAAAATCTCTGAAATCGAGTTGAAAAATAAATATTTACCTTGAGATAAATTGGCTCAACAAATATCAATTTGTTGACAAAATCCATGTGAAATATAAGAATTTTTTCTCAAAAATTAAAATGGTAAGTTCAAATAGGTTGCCTAGGAGAATTTTTTTAATAAAAATTTTTTTTTCGCCGCATTTCTTCTAAAATCATAAAAATTTTATGCGACGATTTAAAATTACTAAAATGGAATTTAAAAAAATTGTCGACCTGGACATAAATTACCATCAGTTTTATTGCTTCTTCCAAATATAGAAGTGCTGAAACGAATATCTTATTACATGTAACAATCCAGACAACAGATTCTTAAAAGTAGTTAAAATCAAATATTTTAAAAATATATTTTAACTTTTACCAAAAATTAAAATGGCTCATATCAATTTCCTAGCAATCTTTTTTAGAAGAAATTTTTTCGGGATAACAAATCCGTACTAATTTTGGTCATACTCGGTCCAATAACTTAGAAACATCAAATATAAAGCGAAAATTTAAAATCTGTGAGATCGGGTTAATAAATAAATTTCTATTTTGAGACAAATTGGCACCAGTTTAATTTTTTTCTCCAAATGCCATGTTGACAGAAATTCTGAGTGAAATATAATATTTCACATAGGAGATTCGCAAAAATGTTTAAAACAAAATATTTGTAAATTTATATGTTATCCCGGCGCATCCACCATTTTTCTCCGGAACATTAAAATGGCTCATGATGGAAAATTTCTTAAAATAGCAAATCTGTCTTTACTCTCCCGTTACCATTTTTCAAGAATAGAGAAAACTTAAAATTTAATATTCAAATATAATGCGAAAACTTAAAATCTCTAAAATCGGGTTGAAACATAAATGTCTACAACGAGGTAAATTCGCACCAGTTTTATTGTTTTCTCCAAACATCAAGATGTTGACAAAATTCGTGCGAAATATAATAATTCAAACACAAAATTCTTTATAATGTTTAAAATAAATATTTTCAATTTATATCCTATCCCGGCGCCTCCACCATTTTCCCCCAGAAAATTAAAGTAACTGAAATAGATTGTCTAGATTTTTTATCAGAAAATCTCTTCGAATAACAAATCTGTCCTTATATACACTTTTCCATATCTATTCTAAAAATGGAGAAACTTAAAATTTTATGTGACGATTAAAAATTTCTGAAATCGAGTTGAAAAAAATGGTGTACTTTGCCATAAATTCGCATCATTTTTATTATTTTGTTCCAATATTGAGTTGTTGAAATGAATTTCTTGAAAATTGTAAAAATTCTGGCACAAGTTTTTTAAAACTACTTAAAGGATTTGTAATTTTTATAATAACACTGAGCGTCGTCCCGTTTTTTACAAAAATTAAAATAGCTTAAATTAATCTGCTTAGAATCTTTTTTAATGGAAAATTTCTAAGATTACATTTTTTTTCTGTAAAAAAAAAATAAATGACTACTTTGAGATAATTTATCCACAGTTGAATTATTTTCTCCAAATATCAAGGTGCTGAGAGAATCCGTATGAAATAGAATAATTCAAGTAGAAAATTCTTTAAAATATTTAAACAAGGATATTTTTAATTTTATTTGTTATTCCGGTACATCAACCATTTTTCTCCGGAAGTTTCAAATGGCTCAATAGGTTGTGTAGGAATTTTTTTTTAGAAAACAAATCTATCGTTATTTTCACCGTACCTCATCTAAGAATAGAGAAGGCCTAAAATTTTAGGTAACATTAAAAAAAATAATTGCCTAAGAATCTTTTTTAATGGAAACTTTTCAGGATTACAAATCCGTGCTAATTTTCGCCGTAGCTGCTCCATTAAGCTAGAAACATAAAGGTGTTGACAGAAATTTCGTGTGAAATACAATAATTCAAATAGAAAATTATTAAAAATCTCTAAAATAAAATATTTTTTTTATATACTCGTATATGTTACCCCGGCGCATCCACAATTTTTCTCCCGAATATTATCTTAATTTCAATAAGTTGTCTAGGGGATTTTTTTGTTGGAAACTTTCTCGGGACGACAAATGTAACCTTATTTTTGTCGTTCCCATTCTAAGAATATAGAGAACTTAAATTTTTATGCCACGATTTAAAATTTCTGAAATGGAAACTGCAGTAATTTATCGACTATCTTGATCCTGAAGAATTGCAGAATGGGTATTTTCAGCATGACAGCGCAACAGCTCATACATCTCAAATAAGTTTGAAGTTCCTCAGGAAATTTTATGACAGCCGTTTAATTAGCTCCCTCACTTACCTGATTTGACACCTGTAAATTATATATTGTTCCCGACTACGCCGGAATCAAATATGTTACTTATTATCAATAAATGATTTTAAATCCGACAAGGGTTTAATTCTTCTTGACACAACAAAATGCCTGTTTTTATTACTATAAGTCTATTAGTTTGTCATTGACCATTTCTTAATGAGATAATTTTCCAAACTCTGCTGAAACCCATTACTTTGAAATTTTGTGGTTCCGTGTTGCAAATATCAATTAAAAAAAAAAAAGTGACACAGTATTTGAAATAACATTTCACAAACTTCAGCGAAACCCTGTAACATTCTCCCTTCACTCAAAACAGCCGAAACTCAATTTTTAAAGCGCGAATTGCGGTTCCCGCCACCGCCTAGGGTAAATTTGCATCGAGATTAATCAGTATTAAATATGTGCGGTCGGAACAACTATTGGCAAGTCGTGTTTATCACAAGGGGATTAGGGGTGCAGCGATCGAACTGTATAAAGGGCACAACGCCATAGCTAAGTATTTGTGGTTGCACCTAAAGTTAAATATCACGATTAACTGTAATCTGCTCAGAGGGATAGTTGGCAACATACAGCACTAATGGTCCTCCGCGGCTTCCAACAACAACAGCAACTGTTGTACCAACTTAATGCATTTGTATCTATTTACATCTGAACAGATGCGGTTCGAGCCGAGTTCGGTAACGAATGCACTGTTTATGACAGCTCAGCCAAACGTTCGTTACCTCAGACAATGCTCTTTTTGCGTTTATCGCATTTTAATCAGTTTAGACAAAGCGGCTCCTTGGAGATAAAATTTTCACGTAAATTAAAGGAGGAGCTATGCATAAGCAGGTGCTCTGTCAATAACAAGGGAGGTTCGGAAAATATTAATAAGGCAATTGCCGCTGCCTTGTCATTAAAGACAGCTTGAAGTCTTTAGGTTTCTTAGCGATTGTTTCGATGCACGTTGTAACTGACACAAATAATGAATTTTTAAAGTATTTGTGGACGTTACAGGAAAATTTAAGTTTGAAATAGAACAGTAATTCTCATGATTTTTTATGTAGACCTCCAGTATTAGAAAGAGATTCACAATAACCTTTATTTGTGAATCTTTTTTCTCGACGCAATGAACTGGTTAAATTTTCAGCAGACGATATCGCAGACTGAGGCTCCATTTTCATAATGAGATTTCCAAACATCACAACAAACGTAAACATCTTTTTTGCGAACCGTTGTTTTGTTGTTGAAAAATATGACTCAAATATTTTTCGAGAAAATATACATCGCATTATTAATATACGGGGCACTGATTTCAACGTTCTTCGGTAATTTTAATAACACACTTGAGTACTTTTTCTTGTTCGTATTGTATTCAAGCATATTTTTATGTTATTAGTTTTAAAATTACTGAATTCATTGAGCTAGTCTACGTCGTATAAAAATCTAAAAAGTTTTAACAGCAATCGTTGTACATAAACCGCCTCCGTGCTTTCTCCTTTGTACGCAAACTTCAAATACCCACTAAACATACGCCATCAGGAAGATATAAAATCAGCGGTACGACCTCGCGTTCCGTACACTTTTATCTGTCATTTTTTCTCTTTTTACGGTTTATAGAGAGTCTAGATTGGGGCCGTCGTAAATAATCACGGCAATCTCTCAAATAAAAGATCAAAGGAACAAATCCCCTTCTATCCAATCAGACATACTATCGAAGATTTGTTCTGGAAGAGGCGCAGACATTTGATTTTGACCTGAACCAGAACCGGCAAGCAGGAAAGTCGTCAAATATGAAATCGAATATTGAGTCAGGCTAAAGTAATCATAATATTTGCTCGACGTGTGAACTGTCGGGGCGAAAAATCTCCGGGAGCATCAGAGTAGGCTGCGATAAAATAAAATCACGGGCGACGACGAAACAGACAGAGGGTGGAAAATTCGATGAGCGGCAAAGCAATAAAGTGATGATTGGACCAGCCGGTGAGAATGAAAGGACGCATTCTACACATTCCGTTTGTTTCAGATACAGATTTTCGGGTTCAACTCGCAACTCTACACCAACTTCTCGGAAGCGCTTCACAAAGCTCAAGGGATCGTGGTTATTTCTCTGCTCTTACAGGTATGTATCACTCACCCTTCCGACCGTTACGATTTGAAAAAATAAAATACAGACACTCGAGAGGAATTTTTATGCGATTTTAATGGCCCGCACGCACCTAGAATCACGCCACGAAGCCGAGGCGGAAAATGAAAAAGTCATCAGATTCCTCATAATTAGGGTAAACTAGGGCAAAACGGGAGCTTTAAAACGTTTGCAGAAACATTCTACACTTAACTTACTCGAGGAACTGACTCGTATATTGTAAATGTTTCTACGCCATCAAAGACGTCTAGAAATTCATAATAAAATTGGCAATGTTGAAAAATACTTAAACTAAAAGAAAACACCCTTTGCCAGAAATGGTAGAGAATAAAGAGTTTTTGGAGTTATGTAGCTACTTTGAACTCGGGAATTTAGATATAACTTACATGTTTCAAAATTTGCTGTATCAACATTATACTGTTTGTTGAAGCTTTGCACAAACAACAGATTTATGATTTTCTCAATTATTATACTACTTCCAAAGTTTCCAAATACCTAATTAATGAATTTAATAACTTATCCATCGAACAACCAAGTTTTGTAATCAAAATTTCAGTACAATTCAGTGAAGCTTGAAATATTTAATTTTTGTGTGAAAACAATTTTGTATGCGTATTGTTTTAGTAGAAATAAATCAAGAATTTGATATGTTCAGGAAACACCTGTATTTTTCATCATTACTGTTTGAAAAATCACGCATTCGCAACATTTTTAAGAAAGATCACAAAACCAATAAAAATTGTCGAAAAATAGTTGAGAGATGTAAGTTTCTAGACGTATTTTCGAACCTAAAAATGTAGTTTAACATGTAGTTTTTAATTTAGTAAAAAAGACTTTGTTTAACTTGTCCTCATCTTAGGATCTACTATGCAATCATTATCATAAATAACATAGTCATTTGTAACCCAAATCGAAAAAATAGTTCTAAAGATTTTAGACAGAACTTGCACCTGAAACCAAATATTCAAATAAATTGAGTGTTTTAAAAAAAATTCGAGGATGGGATATCGACTATCTGAAACACAAGGCAAAATATTGCATAACATTTTTATAAAGTAACTGTGAAAAAATCAAGACGGATTCATAAACCACAAGTACAGAAATATGTTAGATATAAAATTCAAATAGTATTGACAATGCAAAATTTAGAGGTAGCGACAAGAGTGCCGGGGGCAGGGATTATTTCGTGACAAACGACATTCAGTCTGAAGACGCGTGTAAAGACAATTATTGTTAAAAGAGCGAAAAAACGAGGTTTGGAAGTGTAAGGAGAGACAGAGAGCTGAGTACCATACCGTCATAATCTCCCCCGGTTTCAGCGTGGCCGCCTCCCCAGGATCCGAAGCAGCCGCCTCCAGGGGCACCAGAGCGACCTTGACGGGGTTTTCGTTTCTTTTTATTTGTCGCTCCCTTTCCGGAGAAGACACCAATCCTCCGGTTACCAAACATACATTTATAAATTAACTCCAGTCGGTCTGGTAGTTTTGGAAATTAATTGTCTAATAAAACTCGACACACATGAAAACGCGAGAATCTTTTTTTCATGGTCTAAGTCTCATCAAACGTCGAAAAAACATGAAAATAGCCGTTCGTTGGCTGGATCCTATTACAATCCTGATGAAAAGTATGTTTGTATTATTGGCCATTTATTTATAACAGAGAATTTCTTTCTGACACAAAGTAGTGAACCGAATATACTTTAGAGCATGGATGGTTTTATCATTACTGTCTTAAATGTAGTCGGGTTGACACATAATTGACAATTGTTAATTCAATATCGTTGTTAAAAGTAATTTTCATTAACCGTCAATTTTTGACATGACTTAACACTGAAACGTACTCTACGTAAACGATTGAATTTTCACTGCCTGCTCCAAATATATTTTTTTCTTTTTCGTCTTGCCCCGGTGTTTCAATTTACCTAACATTCCCTAGTAGCTATTGCAACAAATGCTGCAAGAAACTTAATGGAAATTTGACTTCGTTTGATTTATTTTTTTTACGCTTTTAAGACTTACTTACTTTATGAAAAAAACTAAATTTCCTTTATCAAAAACCTCTGAACAAAATTATAAAACTTAAATTTCTCTACGAAAAAGCTTGTATTAAGATTTTGCACGATATTTCCTACTATTGTAACATTTTTAAAAATTCACAGTCGGCGGACATACGACACACAAACAGACAGACAGACAGACAGACAGACAGACAGGCAGACAGATGGAAACAGGGGACCTAGTATTTCTTAATTTAAGGGTCATGAAACGCCTAGAAAACATGAAAGTAGCCATCAGTCGTCAAATGGACCCTATTACAATACTTCCTTAGGCTTACGCTCCAGGTTTAAATATATATATGTTTTTTGAAAATGTATTGCGATATCTACATTAATGCTAAAGATGTACCACATTTTCTAAGAAACTCCTTTGAGAAAATTCTGAAAATTCTGATTCCCTAAACACATTTTTTCTTTAAACTACCTATTCGCACAAAAAGGCAGAGACGTATATTAGGGATAATTAGATGAATTAGCTTAACATTTCAGTCTCCAAAAAATATCATATTACCCGCATTTTCGTATTCTACTACCTGTAAAGCAAAGATAGTTATTGCTAAAGATGCAAGTGATTTTGGGAATGACATATCTTCTAAGAAAAGAGAGGGTGGGTGGGCGGGGTTAGTACCTACTAAGATAAGACTGATTTTGGCAAATGAGTTCCCTCTAATTTCTTAGGGGTGGACGAAGTTAGTATGTACCTGCTAAGATAAAACTGATTTTCCCAAATGAAGAAAGACTGATTTTGGCAAATGACACCCTCTAAGAAAATGAAGGGTAGAAAATATATCATTTGGCAAAATCAGTCTTGTCTTAGCAAGAATTGACCCCGCCCACCCACCCTTTATTTTCTTGGAAGGTGTGCCATCTGGCATATTAATTTTATCTTAGCAAGTACTAGCCTCACCCACCCGCCCTTTATTTTTTTAAAGGGTATGTTATTTGGCAATGTCAGCCTTATCTTGGCAAGCACTAGCTCCGGCCACCCGACCTTTATTTTCTTAGAGGGCTAGTACCTGCTAAGATAAGGCTGATTTTGGCTAATGAGATCCTTCTAAGGAAATAGAGGGCGGGTGGGCGGGGTTAGTACCTGCTAAGATAGAACTCATTTTGGCAAATGACATATACCCTAAGAAAAGAGAGGGTGGGTGGGCGGGATTAGTACCTACTAAGATAAGACTGATTTTGGCAAATGAGATCCCTCTAATTTCTTAGGGGTGGACGAAGTTAGTATGTACCTGCTAAGTTAAAACTGATTTTCCCAAATGAAGAAAGACTGATTTTGGCAAATGACACCCTCTAAGAAAATGAAGGGTAGAAAGTATATCATTTGGCAAAATCAGTCTTGTCTTAGCAAGAATTGACCCCGCCCACCCACCCTTTATTTTCTTGGAAGGTATGTCATTTGCCAATATCAGTTTTATCTTAGCAAGTACTAGCCCCACCCGCCCGCTCTTTATGATCTAAGAGGGCTAGTACCTGCGAAAATAAGACTGATTTTGGCTAATGAGATTCCTCTAATTTCTTAGAGAGTGGGCGGGGTACTGCTAAGATAAAACTAATTTTCCCAAATGAAGAAAGACTGATTTTGGCAAATGACACCCTCTAAGAAAATGAAGGGTAAAGAGTATATCGTTTGGCAAAGTCAGTCTTATCTTAGCAAGTATTGACCCCGCCCACCCACCCTTTATTTTCTTGGAAGGAATGCCATTTGGCAATATCACTTTTATCTTAGCAAGTACTAGCCCCACCCGCCCGCCCTTTATTTTCTAAGAGGGTTAGTATCTGCTAAGATAAGACTGATTTTGGCAAATGAGATACCCTCTAAGAAAAGAGAGGGTGGATGGGCGGGGGTAGTAGCTGCTAAAATAATACCAATATTGGCAAATCACATACCCTCTAAGAAAATAGAGGGCGGGCGGGTGGGGCTAGTACCTGCCGAGATAAGACTTATTCTATCAAATGAAGTATTCTCTAGGAAATTTAATTACATTATTATAAGAAAATACACTAGAACCTCCAAAGCACTTTCAAATTCTTTCCAAACAGAAATACTTAGAACCTCAAGATTGTTTCAAATTTTTCAAAAAAAACGGAGTGCCAAAATTAACTCAATTATTCGTTTTATAATAGCACCTATAAGTCAGAAAAATATATAAATAATACCAGTCCAGCCCAAGACCTTCGCGTTATTAGGTCAACGTTTCACTGTTAAAAGATGTTATTATACAATTTGGGCTTTTCTTGCGAAACTTTGGATTTGCTAAACATTCAAGGCGAATTCATAAACCACAAGTACAGGAGTATGTTATTGTTGGATTTTTATTAGTTGAAATTAAATAAATGGACTGTATTTTTTACTTGTTTTTATTTTACTACCTCCGATGGTTACATTGCAACGATCCGTCTTACACTGCTAATGTCCATACAAAAAATGTCATGATATTAGGGGGGAAATAGCCCGTCCAAACCCCGCCGCCAGAGGTGGTGCGAGCCGCACTTCAGACGGCGGCCGCCTTAGAAGGTTGAAGATCCGCACACGTGCAGCTGCCTTACAAAGACACCGCCAACACGTGGAGGCCGCACCGACAAAATATAAAAAATGTCCTAAACATGCTCCACCCGTTGAAGTAAATAACTTCAAACTATCATGAATTAATGAAAACCTACCACTATTTACACAATTCAGAAACTAAATTGACCTTACAACAGTGTGATTAAATATACACATTGTTATCAAAAATATATGAAACTAAAACTATCAAGTGTAAACAACAAAATAAAATAAATTCGAATACAAAAACATTTAACGCATTCTGAAAAAAGTGTTCTATATGCGTCTCTAGTGACTCACTCACCAACACCTTTTTAATCGAGTACTCTGCTATCTCACTCCCGGTTTCACTCACTGACAGGTAAT